ACGATTTCAAGCAATGTCCACAGAAAAATGCCACGGAGTGCACAGTTGTCATATGATGGAGGTAGGAAGGTGTTGTGTCCCACTGTGTAAGACAAGTGCCACAAAGATATCTTGCAGTGAGGTCTTGTGCAGTTTCTGTTTGACCTTCATCACACTGCTTATCAGCCTCATCATTTTCATAGCACAAGACATTGGCAATATCAACACCATCTTTGCTACCCTCTTCAGCATAACTTGCAGAGGATGAAATAGCTGAAGTACAAAGTGCAGCTTCTGTAGTTGCTACAGCTTCGTCAGCCTTTGCCTTCTCCTTCTGGTATATTTGATGGGCTTGAAATATGTGTTCATCAACATCCCACTGATTTTGACTTGCAAATGAGCAGTCATCATAACGACAAAATATGACCCCACTGTGCCTCTCAACAATGTGTCCAAGAAGATCTACAGGAGAAACAACAATGCCACACTTCGGGCAGTGAAGGAATGACTGAGGGGGATGACTATCAGTAAGATGGTTCATAAAGTCAAACACATCATTAAATTCTATGGTACAGTTTTCTATGTTGCAAAAGAATTGCTGTTTACCAGGAAAAGATGTATCTTTGAAAGTGGCTGTCAGACTGTCGTTGTGAGGTTTTGCTTTGTTTTGTGCATGCGAATATGGTGTATCAATTTCAACAGTGCTCTCAATAGTGGGTGTCCTTCGGTCATTTTCAGGCTCCCTTTCACATTCGGCACTCTCTGCACGTCCCACCTCCATTTCAACGTTGCACTGAAGAGTGGATATTACTTCCTCACTTTCAGGCGCTGTTTTGCATTGTGTATGTCCAAACAATGATGAAAGTTCACTTTCTGTACTTTCAGCTCTTCCCACATTTGATTGAATACTGTCCAGGTTTTTACTGATTTTGCAACCTGTATTACCGTATTCTGCATTTTTTTCTTGCGATGCTGCATCCCGGATGGCTTCCGATCTCGGTTCTGCGGCTTCATATGAACATGCTTCAAGTTGAAATGATGTGCATGTTAATGACTGTGGCACGGACACAGCTGGATGCCTAGGTTCTACATGAATACTTTTTAGAGCCACCTCACCAGTTCGCTGCTCATTTTCACTGTTATTGAAAAGTATGTTTTCCGTTGTTTTGAAGGGCACCAACTTTGTTGTGCAAAGTTGTTGTTGCAAACTTGTTGTCGGCTTGTTGTTGCTCTTCCTGCTGATGTCTGCAGTCTGCTGCATTGACGGAGTGCAGGCTTCTATCTGCAATGACCCAGACAGGAATGGCTGTGGCACAGGGTCTCTAGACAGGTATTCCTCAACCAACTTCCGCAGCTCTTGGATGACAGCAGCTGAGTCTCCGTTTCTAAGCAGCAGCCTAAATGGCTTGTCTGGGTGCTTTTCCATGATGTGCCGCATGACGACCCAGTCGTCTTCTTTACCGAACTCACAGTACAGGCAGTGCACGTTAAAATAGGCATGATCACACCTGTAGTGCTCTAACAGAACACCCGGGGAGCTAGCTCTAGTCAAACACAGATGGCAATCATATGCCACAGAGCCACAATGGTGCTCCTCAAGGTGTTCACGGAACATTACAGTAGTGAGGCATCTAAAACGGCACTGTTGTTTACAAAGCCCACATATGTACTCCTTCGGTCTGACCAAATATTTTGTCTCCGATTGGGAAGGCTGCGGCAAAATGCTATCTTTTGAATGCCATGGTACGGGCTGTACATCACGATGCTCATGGTAGGCATGAATTGCTAGATGAGCCTTGCCGCATGAGGAGTATGCACAAAGACTACAAGAATACATTTGTTGCCTGCTCCCGTTCTGCAAGGGACGAGTGGGTCTCCTAGAAACCAGCGCAGTTCCAGAGCCTAGAAACAAGTTGGAGACCACAATGCATGAAAGTTAGAGGCACAGGAAGCACAAAATAAAAGTGATCTGAATTCAACAAGGTAAAAAAAAAATGAATGTGCCATGTCCAGGTTCCTCCAAAAATAACAATTTCCTAAGCAGAAAGATTTGAGCAAAGGATTTAGAGAAAAATATTGTTACAGTGCTTTCACCATATTATTATTTCTATGATTCAATTACCTTACCTCTCTAGTTACGAGCAAGCTGACCACTTTGAAATGTGGCATATTTTGTCTGTAAACATGGAAGGCAGGACATAAGCATGGCACACTAAAAGGTGCCCTCACCCTTGTGGACACACTTTCAAAGCAAACCTCAGTGAAAAGATTTGTATGCTTTGAAAGGGTGTGTGCTTTCATTTAGGAAGTGTCATGGCAATTTTACAGTATCAAATAGCAGGAAGAGAACAAGTGAGAGGACAAAAAGACAAAGACTGTGGAAATTACCTTTATGTATCAATATTTCCAAGCAGTTGGCATGACGGCATCCGGACCTAGGCACATCCCCTGCAAATGGACATTTGGCAGCTGTATTTGGCCTGCGTGAACACTCTCACAGTTATTTCTGTGCCACACTGCCCATTTCCAAATCATGCCTCTAGGACATGCCTCAAGAGCAGAAGGCACATTTCAACCACATTATCGAATTCAGATCTGATTCACTTCACCCTATTTAGTCATCAAATTACAAGTAACCTTTTAGCAGACAATCTATGACTGAGATGCCAACACAGCAGGCACTAGAAATTCGCACAGGTTGCAGCTTTTAGCCTGAGCTGGGAGCCAATGAAAAATAAGGGCAGGTTCACAATAGCGGTGCCAAGTCTGACGGAAGTTCATAGTTGGGCAGCCATCAGTTTTTCTTCAGTTTTTTTTTCTTCCCTGATCTATTTTCTGCTTTTTATGCCTTTATTTCCATTTATTTCCCTATTTCTTCTTCTTGCTCTCTGCTTTTATTTTTTGCTTGGTTCCTTTTTCTTGCTATTTTTATATGCGGTTTTCCCTATGTTACGCCAAAACAACAGCCTGGGCCCATCACATGCTCTGTCTGCCACAGCACTCCTAGTTTGAGGCTTTATTCTTAACAGTTTCAACCTGGAGGTGCGCGTCTCCTCCTTCACTGCTTGCTGTTGGTGCAATGAGGAAAAACATACGAAAATATATTAAGTTCATCAAAACACTTTTCTTGGGCAATTATAAATTAATTCCAACACGATTTCTGTGTTGAAAAACCTCAAAAATCGCCGCCATGACCTAGTTCAGACTGTGATAGCCCATAAGAAAGAGGGAACACTGTCTAAATGGTGACCCTTCTGGGTTCTTTTGAGCTTTTGGAACAGGAAGTAGTTCGGCCAGCTCACATCAGGGCTCATGCATTTCTGGTACAGCCTCATGTAATCCCAGCACATTCTTTCTTGTTCCCAAATCTCAAGAGAAGATGAAAGGTCAGTGCTTCAATGGTATTCCTGCCATCTAACGGGCTCTCTGAAAGGTGATGGCAGTCGACCTCTGGGTGCCTTTGTGGCACGGTAATCTCATTGCCATCAGTGTACCTACACCAAAAGAAGCTATTCGGAAGAACTTGGATAATATGGGCCAATTTGATTAATGAATTCTGTTTTGCCAGACCCAGTCAAACTTTTTAATCTACAGAGTCTGTATACTTCATCAGTGCATTAGACTTCACTGTTATGTTATGTGTCCAGAGTAAGACCTTGAGCTCAAGTCTAACTGTCGTCCTGCATGCATCTTTCACTGTTTGTTTTGTTTCTCTACATTATGTACTTAAGTCAAAACCAGATAGCCCAAGCTCTAGCTTTAACTGAAATTATTGTAACATGTGTTGCACCTGCAGCTTCCTGTTGTTATCACGAGTCAACAAAGGTACTCATGGCACCAAAAATTGTTACACGATGAAGTAGACACAGACCTTACCTGAACTACAGGCACTTGGGGTTTACAGGGCAGTGTACATACCACCTTGACTAGGAAACTGCGAATGACAGAAAATAAGTACAAAATTTTCATAGCAATAAACTGCAGCACGTTCCTGTGCATTGTCTGTGCACAAAAACATTAATTTTACTCGAAATCCGCAAAATGAATATGCGTGTCGTTAACACAAGCTCCAAAGGGCAATACTAAATGTGCATACACAAGAATTGCGGACAACTCTATGAGGACGCAGACATACGACACTTGTTTCTTTTGTCACTCGAAGAACCGACATCGAGCGCGAGATTGCAACTATGCGAACGCCAGAAGCCACCAAGGTACAATAGCACGACGACCATAGCCAACAGACTGGATTTTTTTAACAATCTGATAAATAATCAACGCTGTAAGACGACCCTTTCAACTTAGTCAAAAGCACCACGATTTTTTCACTATGATAACTACTCTAGACTGTCATCCTTTTCAACATCCACGAGAAGGCTGCACTTGTTTTACTTGAAAAAAAAAATGCCATATTCCAATGGATACACTCGTGTTGTAGGCAGCAAACAATAAGTCATCGACACATCCCGCCAAAACTTATTCCCACCGTTTTCAACGGCTAATATAAGTTACAAAACGCGCGCAGCATTTATACGAATATGTTTCACAATAAACACGGTTTTGGACAACTGGGTTTCCGAACCTTTTCAACGTAAAAGAACGTTCTCACGCCTTGTTCCCGATGCACAAAGGATATACCAGGGCCAGAGCCGGGGTTCACGGTTTTTCGAAATTCGACCGACCAAGGGAAGTTTGAGTTTTCCACAATAAAACCTGGAGGAAAGTGTGGCGCCACCGTCTGTGCGAATTTCTGGCTGGTGTTGAGCGAGGCTTCGGCTCAAAACCGAATATGACTGCGTAGATAAAGCTTCTTTAAAACAAAACGTTTATAAACAGATCTCATTCACGCGTATTATATTTTACAATAAAAGTGGCGGAGGTATAGTATGGCAAGCGTCTATTTCTCGTACAGAATCTTTCCTAAGAAGAGACTTTCAGGGGATTTTTCGGTCAAAGGATTTGCGATGGTAGCGCCGTTACGTCGCAGCGGAACGTTTTAAACCATTGCTTCGCCGGCCGGTTGGGTATTTTGTAGGCCGGCGAGGTGTTCTTTTCTCTGGCCCGATTGTCAAGCTAGCGCCTTACTCGAGCAAGTTTGATCGTTTGGCCGTGATTTGGCTCTGCGAGTCTTGCAGCTTTCGTGTGGCTAACTTGGTGCACGAACCGGTGCCCCGTATCAATTTCGTCAACATCGTTGTGACTGCGCTTGCTCGATCGACAGACGTCGCAGGCTGCAGTGCGCCGCTTGTCTTGCCGCAACAGGTAAGCAGTCGTCTCTATTATTTGTACTTATACTCTGCCCTGTTGGTCGCTATCTCGTATGTAATAGTCATAAATACCTGTCCACATCAGACAGCGGGATAATATAGGACTATGCTGCCGGTATTCGAGAACACTTTCCCAGAGGCTTCCCATACCATAGTGCTGGCTTTTTTGGCACCTGTAATAGCTTCCAGAAAAGTTGCGTAACTTGCACAGAGTCATCCTCTCATTATGCTGATATGCTGGAATGTCAAAATTGAATTGTGCCTCGCATTGCCCATTTGGGATTGAGAGAACGACACTGGTGTAATTGTAATGACCCCAAATGCGTGCTTTTCCGCAGCACTAAAACATGGCGGTGAAGCCGAATGTGCTAATGTCAGTGTTTTTACCGTGTGCATTCATACATAAAAGTATGAGTTGGCATGATAAAAGTATGAGTTGGCATGAAGTCAAGCAGGATTGCATGGAACATTTATGGTTGAGAGGGAAAATAGCTGGGCAGATGACACTTTTTGGTTTGGTGTACTTGTGGACAGGAGCAAAGGCCAGATAGGAAAACCAGGCAATAGTGGAGTGTATATTAAAGGACATTGAGGAATTAGGAGGAGAGTGCGAGATATATATACTAAGACATATGAATGCCCACATAGAAGATATAGAAATAACAGGCAAAATGATCATGGGTATGTGTGATGTGAAAGGCATGATTTGATCATTTGCAACAGTACTGAGACGTGTGAAGGGCAAATAACATGGGAGGTAGGAAGGCTGCAGTCAACGATAGATTATGCACTGATGTCACATAGGATGTATGATAGGCTCAGGGGAATGCCCATAGATGAATGTGGCTCCAGAAGTTTGGGTAGTGATCACAAACGTATCAAACTAAGTTTTGGAAGAGCAGGGTAAGTGGGAAAGAGACAAGATGAGCAACTACAGGAAAATTTTTATTCAGAAAGGCAAATAGAAATAGCTACTAAGCAAATTGAGAAAGTAATCACCGAGGATAATAAAAGTGTGGAAATACACGAATCTAATTAGACTGTTTGAGCTAGAGCTTGCTAAGATATGTGATAAGTCACCCCGGAAAAGAAGACACAAACCCAAAAGTTGGTAGGATGAGGAAGTTAAGAGAGCCATAGCAAAACGTAAGGAAGCCTCTAGGGAACACAGACATGCTAAGCAGTGGGGTGAACCGACAGATGATGTTGAAAGAAAATGGGATACCTTTCTAAGTTCTAGAAGGGAAGCATCCCTTCTGATCAATGAAACGATTAGACGAAAGGGGGCTCAGTGGCTGGCAGAAGTACATGAAAAGGATAGAAAGGCAGCTGCAAAGTTTTGGAATCATCTAAACTCCCTAAGAAATGAGACAAGCCTAGAGCAGAGGTTTATTACTACAGCTCAATGTGCTTGGCTAGAAGAGGACGAAGCTATTGAATATATAAGAACAAGGGTGACAGAATAATTTCAACAAAAAAGTGCCTTATCCACCACAATAGACAAGGATGGATCAAGTGGCGCAATGGCTCCATTTTCACGAGAGTGGGAAAGGGCAGAGAAGAGGGTTCCTAGGAGCACATCAACAGGCCCAGATGGCATTCCAATTATGCTGATAAAGACATTGGGTCCGAAGTCTAAGCAGACTTTGAGAGAGGCAGTGAGCAAAACAATAATTCATGGTGAAGTCCCCATGGTGTTGCAGCTATGACGTAGTGGTTAGAGCATCCGCCTTGCATGCAAAAGGTCCGTGGTTCAAATCTCGGTGCCGCGCAGTTCCCAACCGGATAAAAAAAAAAATATCCACGTGGTGATGGAACTGCATTAAAGAGGCCTGGGGTGCGGGCTCACCAATAACCACCGCCGGGAACGCACTCCTTCACCAGTGAAGGATTGGCCACCCTGGTGCAGTAGCTGGCCACTACCTCCCACATGCATACGTCAAATAACTCGCGGCCTTCAGTCCCCAGCAGCTGCGAAGCAACTGACCACGGCGGCGGTCAGATCTGCAACGCAGCAGAGGGTGCTAGGAATCTCTGTATCCGGACAGGCTGCCATTGGAACCTGAACTTGGCGACGTTTAAAGCTAGAACCTTATCTAGTGAGGGAAGTCTAGCTGTACTATTCGAGGAGCTAGAGGGTGTTAAATGGGATATAATAGGGCTCAATGAGGTTAGGAGGACAGATGAGGCTTATACGGTGCTACAGAATGGGCACGTCCTTTGCTATAGGGGCTTGGCTGACAGAAGAGAACTGGGAGTGGGGTTCCTAATTCACAGAAACATAGCTGGCAACATAGAGGAATACTATATCATTAATGAAAGGGTGGTAGGTATCGTAATTAAACTGAATAAAAGATACAAGATGAAGGTGGTACAGGCTTACGCGCCTACATCCAGTCATGATGATGCTTCAGTTGAAAGCTTCAATGAAGACATGGAATCGGCAATGAGTAAGGTAAAAACACAGTATACTATACTGATGGGAGACCTTTAACGCAAAGGTAGGGAAGAAGCAGGCTGGAGACCATGCAGTAGGAGATTAAGGTATCCATACTAGAAACGCCAGAAGAGAGGTACTAGTGGAATTCGCAGAATGCAATAATTTACTGATTTTGAAAACCTTCTACCGAAAATGAGGAAACCGCAAGTGGACATGGAGGAAATACTGGCGAAAATAAAAACGAAATAGACTTTATAATGAGTGCACACCCAGGCATCGTGCAGGATGTGGAAGTGGTTGGCAAGGTATGATGCAGTGCCCATAGAATGGTACGGTCTCGAATTCACCTAGACTTGAGGAAGGAACGACAGAAACTGATATGCAAGAAGCCAGTCATTGAGCTAGCACTGAGAGGGAAAGTACAAAAATTCAGTCTCACTTCAGAACACGTACTCGGCTCTTAGTGAGGAAACCAACCTTAGCGTAGATACAATGAATGATAATTTGACGAGTATCATTACGGAGTGTGCAGTGGAAGTTGGAGGCAGGGTACTTAGACAGGACACTGGCAAGCTTTCCCAGGAAACGAAGAATCTCATTAAGAAGCGTCAAATCATGAAAGTCTCAAGTACAACAGACAAAATAGAACTGGCAGAGCTTTCGAAGCTGATTAATAGGCGTAAGGTATCCGATGTAAGAAGGTATAACATGGAGAGAATTTAACACGCTCTGAAAAACGGAGGAAGCGTCAAAGCAGTGAAGAGGAAACTTGGGATAGGCAAAAATCGGATGTATGCACTAAGGGACACAGAAGGCAAAGTAACTACCAATATGGATAGGATAGTTAAAATAGCGGAGGAGTTTTACAGAGATTTGTAGAGTAGCCGGGACAACCACGACTTTAATACTATAAGACCTAGCAGTAACCCAGATGACACCCCACTAGTAATGATAGAAGAAGTCAGAAAAGCTTTGGAGAGCATGCAAAGAGGCAAAGCTGCTGGTGAGGATCAGGTAACACCAGATTTGCTGAAAGATGGAGGACAGATTGTGTTAGAAAAACTAGCCACCCTGTTTACGAGGTGTCTCCTGACGGGAAGAGTACCAGAGTCTTAGAAGAACGCTAACATCATCTTAATATATGAGAAAGGAGATGACCAGGACTTGAAGAATTACAGGCCGATCAGCTTGCTCTCTGTAGTATACGAGCTATTTACAAAGGTAATTGCTAACAGAGTAAAGAAAACATTAGAATTCAATCAACCAAAGGAACAAGCAGGATTTCGAACAGGCTACTCAACAATCGACCACATTCATACTATCAATCAGGTAATAGAGAAATGCTCAGAATATAACCAACCACTATACATAGCCTTCATAGATTACGAGAAGGCGTTTGATTCAGTAGAAATATCAGCCGTCATGCAGACACTGCGGAATCAGGGCGTCGATGAAGTATATATAAACATCCTGGATGAAATCTACAGGGGATCAACTGCTACCATAGTGCTTCATAAAGAAAACAACAGAATACCAATCAAGAAGGGTGTAAGGCAGGGGGACACAATCTCCCCAATGCTATTTACCGCGTGCTTACAGGAGGTTTTCAGAAGCCTAGAATGGGAACGGTTAGGGATAAGAGTTAATGGAGAGTACCTTAGTAACCTGCGCTTCGCTGATGACATTGCATTGCTGCGTAACTCAGGGGACGAATCGCAACTCATGATTACGGAATTAGAAAAGGAGAACAAAAAGGTGGGTCTTCAAATTAATCTGCAGAAAACGAAAGTAATGTACAACAACCTTGGAAAAGAGCAGTGCTTCGAGATAGGTAATAGTGCACTTCAAGTTGTAAAAGACTATGTCTACTTAGGGCAGGTAATAACCGCGGAGCCGAACCATGAGATTGAAGTAACTAGAAGAATAAGAATGGGGTAGAGCACATTCGGCAAGCACTCTCAAATTATGACAGGTAAATTGCCACTATCCCTCAAGAGGAAGGTATATAACATCTGTATCTTGCCGGTACTTAGCTACGGAGCAGAAACCTGGAGACTTACAAAGAGAGTTCAGATTAAATTGAGGACGACGCAGCGAGCAATGGAAAGAAAAATGGTAGGTGTGACCTTAAGAGACAAGAAAAGAGCAGAATGGATTAGGGAACAAACGGGGGTTAAGGATATCACAGCTGAAATCAAGAAGAAGAAATAGACATGGGCCGGACATGTAGCGCGTAGGCAGGATAACCGCTGGTCAATAAGGGTAACTAACTGGATTTCCGGAGAAGGCAAGCGGGTTAGGGGGAGACAGGAGGTTAGGTGGGCAGATGAGATTAAGAAGTTTGCGGGTATAAATTGGCAGCAGCAAGTGCAGGACCGGGTTAACTGGCGAAACGGGTTAACTGGCGGAACATGGGATAGGCCTTTGTCCTGCAGTGGACGTAGTCAGGCTGATGATGATGAAGTCCCTGATGGATTGAAACTTAGCAGGATGAGCATGATCTATGAAAAAAAGGGGGACAAAGCTGACATAAACAACTACCGTCCTATAACAGTGACATCAGTGGTCTACAGGCTGCCGATGCAGATTACAAAGGAAAGACTGCAGGCATGGATAGAGGATGAGGGGGTGCTGGGGGAACTGCAGAATGGGTTTTGGAAACACAGCAGGTTGGAAGACAATCTGTTCTCACTGAGGCAGTGCATCGAAATAGCAGAAAAGGAACACAGGCCCCTGTGGCAAGCATTTTTGGATATCACGGGAGCGTACGATAGCGTGGTTCAAGAGAACTTGTGGGGAATACTGGACACACTAGGTGTAGAAGATGGAGGCACTAATCTTTTAAAGGATATCTATAAAAGTAACAAGGTAGTTATGAAGTGGGAAAAACAGGTATCCAAGCCCCCAGAGGTAAAACGGGGGCTTAGGCAGGGGTGTCCTCTGTCACCCTTGTTATTCATAATGTACCTACAAGGATTAGAGGCCAAATTAGATAAAAGCAGGTTTGGTGGCAACCTCTCTTTCGTCGAACAAGGAAAACTTATTGAAGAGGCACTACCAGCATTGATGTACGCAGATGATATAGTGCTAATGGCCGAAAGCAAGGAAGATTAGCAGAGATTGATGGACATCTGCGGTAATGAGGGAGATAGGTTAGATTTCAGATTCAGTAAGGAAAAATCAGCAGTCATGATTTTTATTGATACAGAAGGTAATTAGCTTAGGATGCAGGAGGTCACGCTAGAGATAACAGATAAATACAAATATCTGGGCGTATGGACAAGCAATGGGACCTAGTACCTAAGGGAAGACGAAATATACGCAACGACTAAAAGTAACAGGAATGCAGCAGTGATGGAAAAATAGGGTACTGTGGCATTACAATAGGTATGATGCTGTGAGAGGAATATGGAAAGGGGTCATGGCTCCTCATCTGACGTTCCGCAATGCTGTGTTGTGCATGAGATCAAAAGTTCAAGCAAGGTTAGAAATTAAGCAACGTGGAATAAGTAGGCTTGCTTTAGGAGCTCACAGGAATACACCAAATAAGGGAGTACAAGGTGATATGGGATGGACATCATTTGAAGGCAGGGAAGCTAGCAGCAAGATAAAATTTGAGAAGTGATTGAGAGAAATGGGGGAGGAGCGTTGGGCTAGGAAGGTTTTCAGCTACTTATACATGAAGAATGTCGATACAAAATGGAGGAAGCGAATCAGAAAATCGACAGGTAAATACTTAGAATACGGCATGGGGCCAAACCAAAGAAATCTCATTTAAGAAGAAGGTGAAGGAAACGGAGACCGATATGTGGAGAATTGGCATGATTAATAAGTCCGCACTAGAGATCTATCGAACTTTTAAGCAGGAAAGGAAAGGATTTATGATAGTACTCGGGGTAGTTCTCTACTATTTGAGGCCAGGACGGGAGTATTGCGAACCAAGACATATCGGGCCAAATACGAAGGGGTAGACACGGTATGCAGTGCGTGTGGAGAGGAAAAAGAAACTGCCGAACACTTGATAATGGTTTGTAAAGGGCTTCACCCTATACTTCAGGATGATGCCACAGAGTTTTTCAAAACACTCGGGTTTAGGGACAGGGAGGGCAAAATAGACTTCATGCGGGTAGAAATAACTAGAAGGAGGTTATCTGATTGGTGGCTAAAGTCAAGGCATGAGTGAAAATTAAATCCTTCACTCCAAAGTACCAGTCCTCAACTTCACTATTTAAAGGAAAAAATAAGATAAATCTAGTTTTTGGTTCACTAAGCATTACGGCTAGGTGGCGTTAGCTGCCGCCCAATTTAAAGGGTACAGCCATATCAATCCATCCATCCAGCTCCTCCACAGCGCACGTGCATGGCAGTGAAGCCGAACTTCATGCATTGCATCGTTCGTTTTATTTGCAGGCATAGAGATTAGCATTCCAAGTTCAAGTCAGCAAGTATTTTTCTTTACGTTTATCCAACGACTTTTTTTTAATTATGTGGACGCATTAGTCGTGGATTTGCCACCAAAATCCTAAGCTCTCATATTATGGAAGAGCATCTCATCAAACCTGCCTTCTACACACTGCTGTACCAGAGAATGAACATGCCGGCTGTTTCTCGTGCTAATATATACTGGGCGACAAAGGCCATGGGATGAATTTGTAAGCAACTATTCAGTCGAGCTGACATTCCATAAGCCCAGAGAAGGATCATTCATTGTTGCACCGCTACTGACTAACGCATACCCTAATTAAGACACATTCAAAGCTACATTCTGCAGTATACTGAGACGAGCGCCCCTGGAGCTTAGCGGTGAGAACACTGACACATGGTATGTACGAGTGTCCTTCATGTCTCTGTGAGGTGAACTCAATACAGGCCAACAGAATGCAACATCGGTCTTGGGAAATGTATCTCTCTGAGAAGGCCTTGAAGAGCCTAGTGGTTGACTTGGAGCTGGCTCAATGAGCTGGTAGCCGGTGAAGCCCTAAGAGCCCCACCAACCTTAGCTATAAAAAGCACTTCAGCTATATAAATGTTCGCTCTATTCTTGCTACAGCAGCCAACGTATGGAAGCTTGTTCAGACAACTCACTTTGCTAACATCGTGGCATCCCCTCCAGGTTCTTTTATGCTGTCGCCTGCAAGAGACACTATCAAGCTTCTGCTTTTCAAGTTTTGTTTCCTTTCAGCTTGAATCTGATTCTTCAATATAATCTGCTCAGTGAAGCTGTTTAAGTAAACTGTTATAATAAATAATAAATATAGCATCTCATTCGATTTAACAAAACTGCAAGCAAGAAGCAAATGGAACAGCTACTGCAATATAGCCTTCCAGTATTAAAGTGGGGAGTTGGGCTTGTCGGTACATTATTGTGGTGTACTACAGTGCACAGTGCTATAGACAGAACACAAATGACGAGTGCTGATTGGGAGAGCAATCCTGGCTGGTTATACAATGACTGGCAAGGAAACCTTCAAAATATTTTCAGTCATGCACACTCTTCACATTGTTTGATGCTCTTTTAGCCTATTTTTCGTGCAATGCCCGGTTTGGCCATCGTACACTTTACTGCACTTTAATAAAGGAATTTCGTACACCACCTCTTGTGCACAATCAGCAAAGGGCCTCCTGTGCTTTGTGTCACAGACCTGTTTCATTTTGCCTCCGGGTCGGTCAATCTGCAGAGCTTAGACAGCCTGTTTGGTACTGAAAATAGGAGTTTCATGTGTTACCGCTGGGCCACCTTTTTCATGCTGGGCGACATCTTGTGCATGTAAGGTATCATCGCTACCTTCTGCATGAGCGGTGCGATAGCTTCACAATTTTGTGGGTGGTGGCACACCTTCTTGAGCAGGCTGTCTGCAACTGAAATGAGGAGTGACTCGAGATGCCCAGCACTTGTGAGCCCTTCAGCTTTACGCTTAAATGCTTCAGAAGTACAGTGTTGGCAAGATTTGCCCAGAGCACTCTTGAGGCACGATGTGGAAATAGCTCATTTAACGAGCTTTTAGTGGGTGGACTTGAAAGGTAGTAGTGGTTTGTTAGTGCATGGTTCTTAGCACCAGCAGGTGCTAACACCTGTAAAACGAAACTGGACATCTAAAAATGTAATTTTGTCATTTACCGGGAGTTTACGGTCTAGGCTAAATGGGGTCATCACATGGATTGATTGATTGATTTGTGTGGTTTACGTTCCAAAACCATCATCTGATTTTGAGAGACGCCGTAATGGAGGGTTCCGGAAATTTAGACCACCTGGGGTTCTTTAACGTGCACCCAAATCTGAGAACACGGGCCTGCAACATTTCCGCCTCCATTGGAAATGCAGCCGCCGCAGTCGGGATTCGATCCCGCGACCTGCGGGTCAGCAGTCGAGTACCTTAGCCACTAGACCACCGCGGCGGATCGAGTCATCACATGGAAAACACATCAGGTAGCACTTTGCTTTGTCGTGCGGGTCACAATTTAAATAAGGTAATCGCTAACATATCGGAATATGCTAAGAACATTTTTGTCGATTGTAGTGAGCAAGAACTAGGTCTCTGAGAACCGAGCAATGAAGGAACGAGTGCATACGCCTTGTTTCTGCAGGTGTGGGATTCCTTCAAACATTGCGTACGTAGACAGCTAATAAAAGCTTAAATGTTTTAAGAAACCACCGGCAGAAATCCCTGCAGAGTTTTGGAAAGCAACGAAACTGTGTTTGTGAATAGAATGCTCATCACACTCAAGGATTAGGTTATGATGCAGGAAATAAACAAGATCTTCAATGTCAGTCGATAAATCCTGACAGCACTTGTCAGTGAAAGTGTCAGAGACGTCTAAAGCCTGGTTAAATTTAGTCTCGATAAAAGGGTCATCTATCACTAAAAGATTGAGATTACGCCAATTGAGATTCATAGACAATGGCCCGAAAATGTATGCTGACGTTGAGCATTTTTGCACTGAAAAAAGACATTTAATAAATTGTTCTTGCTTTTATCGATCACCTTAATCAGAAAGATAAAGCTTGTCACATAGTATTTTTGCATTAGACTTCTGTTTACTCAATGAATTATCCAAGTGAGAATCGACTGCAGAAAACGCTTCTCTCGACTTTGATTCAAAAATATTTTTTCTCAGTAGGACCATGAAACCTCTTTTCTTATCGACCAGCTGAATGTGGAGGAGTGTTGGCGTAGAAAAGAAGCCGCTCATCTAATCGGTGGGCTGTGTTTAAGTTCTTGCAGCTGTTAAGGAAGTTAGCACCTTCTGAAAGACGTGCGCTCTAATCGGCAGGGGCTTCATGCAAAACCTTACGTACAAAAGAAAGTTGTACTGGTCTCTACTTCCTGAATGCCACAGCAAACTTCAATCCAAGGGAAAGAACGCAGGTTAGACCGGCTGGCACAGTTACTTCACCGATGACGTGTACATTGCACTGTGACTCTTACGTGCGCGGGGTACACCAGGTCCTCTGTCTTTCAGGACGATATAAATATATGTGCTATTTCACAATAAACATTGTTGTGTTGAAAGTTCAGTGCTTGTTCTCGTCATTTGTTTCCGCCAATTGTGTCTTTCTTCACTTTAGTGCACCAAAACTTTTATTATTGTTTCACAAGTACATTCACAGACCAGGACCGTTGCCTAGGTGTTTAAGTCTCACCATTTATGTTATGAAGGGTACATAATAGTCTCGAGTGCATGAGTGCATGACCTTTAACTCTCATATGCTCTTCTATCTGTAAAAAGCGTATGAGAGTTAAACATGACATCTGCATCTGCAAAGCACTTCCAATGTCATGTTAGCTGAACCTAACAAAGAAACGTTTTACGCCACTCTTTACTTTTAATGTATTGGTCTGCATTTACTAGTCAGTTTTTATATAGATAAAGTGTGCTCAACATCAGTTCCTCTTCCCAGTGATGTAATTGACAACTGAAGGACATTTGTAGTAATGCCATGAAAAAACATATGCGATAAAGTTTGTGTGCCGCTGTGCTATGAGATTGTTTTTATACAAGGTAAGAGGAAGGAGTGAGTAGAAACAACTCTGGGCGAAATTTCGTAGCTTAAGGACGCTGCATGTGTCACTATTATGCCTGCATTATCTTAAAATAAAGATGCCTTTTGGGAGCTTTCTGCTAAGTTTTGTTTTTTTCATCTTGCAGTATCAGTGAATGTTACAGTGGTACCTTGTTCTGAAAAATGCATCACAGCAGCACCATTGGAAGATGAGGTATCACCTTGGCCCAAACAAGATTAATTCATATAGATGAGGCAATAAAGACGTATAGCAAATTTCAACACTGCATCAGTCTCTCAACTCATTTACTGCAAAAGCAGCATTCTGCCATGTGGTCTTAAGGGAACTGTGACCGACAATACGTCCATTCTTACATTATTTTTTTTCATTTGTTTTTGTTTCAAATATTCTATCAAGCCAATATATGCTTCCAAGTAGGTGCAGGGTTCTAGCCACCTTCGAGAAGGCGCGTCCGACACGAGAGAGATGAAGACACCTGAACTGCTAAAGGGTGCCAGAAAGACAACACTTCATTCACATTGAATGCACTTTTCATATAGCTCGCAGTAAGAGGGCTTAGGCATCAGAGTGACACTTCTCATGGTCACTAGCATCAACCTGGAACTAAATTGAAATACCATGCCGAGTGATAAGTTGACTACCAGACGAGAAGTGGCTTAAACAGTTGTGTGTAAGGAAACTGTACAGAACAATAATGTTTCACAAGAGAGAAAATTATTGGAATAAAGCCCTTTATCTGTTTTTGCAATAACAAGTTGATTAATGATAAAAAAAATTCAAGGGCAAACCTTTGAAGTTTGTGCTGAATATACACTGCCCAAAAGCCATCATGGTGTCACATAATCGCATTACCATATTTATTTATTTATCTATGGCCGGTTTCTACAGATTGCAATGTTATGACACCTCAGCACGGGCGAAACGTTTCGAGACTAAGATCTCTTCCTTCCATACTTTTAGCTCAGCCGAATAGTCCAGAAGTATGTTACCCTGTAATAAATTTAGTTCCCATGCAGAAAAAGTGTTTTGTGCATTTATGCTTGGTGCCCGCAAATGATAGACCAATCGAAGGTGCTTATAAAATCGCAATTTTGGTTTCGGTTCTTGACTCCACAAAGTGCCACCTGCTTCTTGTAGCAGGTGTCATGGCGACTTCCTGTTTACCTTTTTTGCTACGGGGTGTGCATGTAACGTCCAAGCTTCAGCGCTGTTCTTTGTCACATTGCAAGATCTATGTAGATACATACGTGGCGATCACATTTTCAAACCTCATTGAAAAAGGCAACGTCGTCCTAAATAAAATTCACACTTGGAGTATCGCCAACTCTTTGAACCTAAACGCGGCTAAAACGAAAGCTGTTATATTTCGGCCTCAAAACAAAACACTGGGCATCACAAACAGTCTAAAGTTAGGTACATCAACTATAGAATTATCACGCGTTGCTAAAAGCCTGGGAGTCATTTTTGAAGAGCATATGACGTGGACAGATCAAGTGAATGCCACCTTAAATAAACTTTCAAAAACTGTAGGTATATTGTCAAAGTTTCGTTACGTCCTGCCTCAAAACATAAAATTGTTAATTTATAAATCACTATTTTTGTCTAACTTATCTTATTGTCACTTAGTCTGGGGCACGACCACCAAAACCAACGTTCAGAAATTACACAAACTTCAAAAGAAAGCCATTCGTAACATCGTTAGTGCCGCATACGATGCCCACACGGAACCGATTTTCAAGGCTCTGCACTTATTCCCAGTACATGAGCTATATCACACAATTTTAAACAATCGCTATAAGTCGGCTATAAAAATAACGACACATTTTTCACAGAATTGTCGGCGCTAACTCGCGCTGAACATGTGCGAATTTTGAGGACTCGTGAAGTCTGGAGATTACCAAGACCACGAACCAATTACGCAACACAGATGTTGAAATATCAGCTACCGCTACTACTTAACATATCCGAAAAACATAAGTAACACTTCCGCATACTCAATTCGCATGTGTATGATGATAAAATGTACCTGTGAATCTCTCTCTCCCCCTTCATTTTGAACGAGTGCATCTCTGTATACTGTACCAGTGCCTTTATTGTGTACATTTTTTCAGTTCCACTAGCTCGCTTATGTTGTTGCAATGAAGATAACTGTTATGTGCCCGTTTTTGCCTTTGTACGCCACGATTGTACGCCACTCTGTACGCCACGTTTGCCAAGCCCGGGGGTACGGACCCTGTCAAGCCTCATCTATGGCTTTTTGTCCGTACCCACCAAGCTCCACTGAATGTCTTTGAAGCTGAAATAAATCATGATTGATTGATTGATTGATTGATTGATTTAGCACCATACGGTACATCGAGTGTCAATACTTTATGTGCGACACTTCGCCTACTGGCTGTCAGAAGGTAAGTAAAATGCCGCTGCATCTTGCACGAACTTGCGCGGTCAACGTGTCAAGGTGAATATCTCTTGCTTTCACGGCTACCGCAGTCCTTGAATTTTATAAATGACACTTGGCTACTTTCACACTGCATTAGCGACCAAGGCCTGCACCTTTAATGTGGAAGAACGTGAGCTGCACAAAAACGGACTTCAGAGAGCCATACGACAATACTTTTTCTGTTCTTCGACGCATGTCCTCGCATCTCGATCGGTTCCTGCGAACTAGCGCAGCTTTCTGACTGCATTTTCAAAACGATATCGCGTTTGTGCGCACACAGGATCATCCTTTGCCTTTTTTTTTTTGCGCTCAGAAAGAAAACTGCTCAATATACCACCATTTGAGTGGCCCGTGATTGCATAAACTGCAGCAAAAGGTAGAGTTGGGCTAGGGTATGGGTTCATTTTGAAATAGCACAAAGATTAAACACACGGAAGACAGCGCTTGTGTTGTCCAGTCTTTTTCTGTGTAACTTGTCTTTTCACTGTACTAAATTGAAGTTCGGTGGGCTTGTTTTCTGCACTAAGGCTTTTGTCACTGCGGCCTCCCACCGGCTGCTGTCCTTGCTGTACTGGTTTGCCGCCGATGTATTCTTGGTGCACCCGTGAGCAAGCCAGCTTCCGTTTTTGACATTCTTAGCACAGCTGTACTGTTGAGACTCGATGGACAGCAGACGTAGCATCTCAAGCAGGCACGATTGCCGTGGTTTGAAAAAACATTGCATTTTCTTTATTTTTCGGGTTCATAGATTAGCCCATGCACAACTGAACAGGTGGGAAATAAGTTGGCATGCTTGTTTATTCACAATGACACTATATGGAAACCAATCAGTTTCTGTTCAAAAAAATTGTTGGCAATCATTTTAGTGCAGTATTTCATCTTTAACTATCATTGCAAGAAATTTTTTTTTGCCATCCTCAAAAGCTGTTTAATTTTGCCATTATGTGTACAACCTAGGTTGACTAAAAAAAACATCAATACAATACTGCTCGAAATAATGAGAACAGATGCTAATGCCAAATAACACTCGAGAGGGTCTTCTTTGTAGCAATTATCATGTGAATGTGAAATGGGCAAAATGACAACTTGCTGCGACAGATTACTACTGATAACATCTCCTACACTTTACTTGCCATTACTCTCTATTCCAAAGAATGTTGTATCTAGCAAAGAAAAACGAGTTCTTAAAATATTTTTTTTCATTAATACTGCACGGGTTGTTCTGATCTGCTTCTAGTTGCTACAAAAGGAATGGAGTTTTTTATCCCTCCCACTGGCGTGCGCCTTTCTGTTTCGATATGCATTTTAATGAAAGCAGAACAGCAATTGTTCACCCATTCTGATATTTTTTTTAATTCTACAAGATTTGATTGATATGTGGGGTTTAACATCCCAAAACCACAATTCTACAAGATATACAATAGCGTCACACGCCAGGGTAGTTGCTAGTAACTGTGTCAAAGAAGCACTGAGGTCGATGGTCAAGTAGTTTTAAAGAACAAGGAGCGTAAACGTAGAATGTGTAAGTGGGGGTGTCACACTACTTGCTACAACTGAATGAGAATAGATGGCAACATCAAAGTTGAAGTGCCAAGTTGCTACATGAACCTTTTCTTCAATTCATTCATGCGAAAGAGAGTATCTGAATAGGTGAGGCGTTAACACGCAAAAGCCTATGGGAGGAGCCGTCTGCATCGGCTGCCTGTTCAAGATATCCTTGGCGCCCTGTTTCACTGGCCGCGTTTTTGGAGCTGTAGACACATCTTTTTTTTTTTCGATGGTGTTGCAATCTAATCGTTCGCGTAATCATGGTTGGTTGTGGAGCTGTCGGTTGCTCAAGTTCGTGCACCAAAGAGAAAGAGATGTTACAATTCTCTTGGAATGAAGATTAAAAATTGAAGTGGGTTTTGTAGTAATAAGGATACAGCCACAGTGAGTGGTATAGCCTTTGGATGCCTGGCGTCAAGTGGCCATGTTGTCCCAAATTCTGCATGGATGGTTTCGTTTGTCTGACACATTTGGTATTTACGTGCAGACACTCCGAGAAAAGATCCACGGCAGATTGACTACGTGATGTCGACATTAGGCATGATAAAAAAGGAACTGAGGCATCAAGATGGAAGCACGAAAGGCATTTGAATGTGTAGTTTTTCATCAGCACAACCACAATCACTATATACGCAGTTATGACAAGCATACGGCGTTTACACTAAAACGCACTGCGACTGCACAGCCAGCTTTGACCCTGATACCGGAAATAGCGTGACACAGCAGCCAACAGCTGCACGACATCAGGCCAACGGTGACACCACTAAATCCATGACACAGCATTTGTCAATGACATCAACTGCAGGGATGTATATGCAATCAGTCAGTGGTTCTGGCAGCGACGACCTCGCACCAGTGGGAGTAAATGTCAGTAGCACTATGTAGACAAGAAAATACTATTCTACTTATAGAACAGCTATACAATATTTTGCGGGTAAAGATTACGTGGCGATCACATTTAGCACAATCCGGTACATCGAGTGTCAATATTTGATGTGCGACACTTCGCCTAATGGTTGTCAGAAGTTAAGCGAAAAGAAAAGAAGCAGCGGTCATGGGTGTAACTGTGTAACCAGAACAAGTAACTATGCATAACAAGCACGGTGCTCGGCTATGATGTGAGTGTCGTCTCGGCCAGCCTGTTCACCAACGCGGTGCAATACAAGAATGCCAAATAAGCTCGACTTGGCTAAAAAAAGTTATCGCCAACATATTTTGATTTTTAAAGCTTTGTCAGCGCTGCATTATAGTCAAGGTTATCATGAACGAATGATTGG